CCACCCCCCCCACCCCCCAGCCGCAGCCTCACCTTGATCGCATCAATGTACTGCTTGGCAAAGTGCTGGCACTCCTCCACCTTCTCCCGGTTCCGGTCACACTCCTCCAGGAGTTGCTGGAGAAAGAAACCACAGGAGATGATTTAAAACACTCACCTCACCCTGGCAAGGGCAGGGAAAGCGAAAACCCCTCGTGCCGACTAAGATGGACTCGGGATGGAGGAGACTGGAGTTATACCCCCCATGGCCCTTCACCACCCAAAGGAGTCTCAGAGCGGCTTACAGACTCCTCTCCCCTTCCCTCCCCACAACAGACACCCTCCTGTGCGGCAGGTGGGGCTGAGAGAGCTCGTGACAGAAAGTGTTCTTTTTTCAAGAACAGCTCCTAACAGAACTACGGCTTGCCCAAGGTCGTCCAGCCAGGTGCAAGTGGAGGAGTGGGGGAATCAAACCCTGTTCTCCCAGATTAGAGTCAGCGCACTCAACCACTACACCAAACTGGATGCCCCGGAGGAGTACACCTGGCAAACAAGATCGAAAAAAACAGTACTGGTGGGAAAGCCAGTCTTCAGGCACTCCCTGTGTGTGCCCCCCTCACGTGCCAACAGGCCAGGTGGGGATTTCGCCTTCCACACGCACAAGATCTGGCGCCGTGGGGAAAGGGAAGCCAGGCCAGGGCCGGCCAGTGTGGTTTTCTTTCTGACACTGGCCCCTCACCGGGCTCCTTCACGCCAGAGGAGGGGCTGCTCAGGGCTTTTGCTCAGCATCAGCCTTCTTGTCCTGGAGGAAACTGGTCATGTGCACAACTGACTCCCCGAGGCCACACCAGAGAGAGAGAGAGAGGAGGAGGAGGAGGAGAGATTGTTTTTCTATCCTGCCCTTCACTATCCGAAGGGGTCTCAGAGCGGCTCACAATCTCCTTTCCCTCCCCCTCCCCGCAAGAGACACCCTGTGAGGTGGGTGGGGCTGAGAGAGCTCTTTCGAGGACTGCTTCTGAGAGAACTTGTGACTGGCCCAAGGTCACACCAGTAGCTGCATGTGGAGGAGTGGGGGAATCAAGCCCCAGGTTAGAGCCGGCACCTCTTAAATACTACACCAAACTGGCAGAGAGGCACCATTATATTGGGTCTTTGGATTGCAGGATCCAAAGCCAAGTGGGCCAGGCCCAAGAAGGGGCAGCGCTGGTCAGAGAACCACCGCAAGCAAACTGCCTCCAGTGTCAGGAAGTCCCGATACGCAGGGGGGCCTGTTCCTGCCGCACCAGCCGCTGTGTGGCTGCAGGCGCACAGTGAGCCTCTGCCCCAGAGCCCAGGCAGAAGCAGCCCCCCCCCGCCTCACCTTCTCCTGCAGCAGCTGCTCCCGCACGGCCCTGCTGTCGGTGACGGGCACGGCCTGGAGGCCCTCCTGGCGCTGCCGGGCATCCCGGATCCACTGGATGAGCCAGGTGTGGCTCTCGCGGTAGTAGCGGAGCTGGCGGCCCAGCTGATCCAGCTCCCGCTGGCGCAGGTCGATCTGGGCCAGGATGGCCTGCCAGCGCTCCAGCAGCTGCTGCACGCGCTCCCGGTAGCGGTCCAGGTCCATGTCTCTCTCGCTGTGGCCCCGCACCATCCGCTCGTTCACCTCGCTGGCCTTGCCCAGGTCTGCCTCCAGGGTGTCGAAGAGGGGCTGGTGCCCTTCCACCTGCTTGCGCAGCCTCTGTCGGACGGGATGCAGCAGGGTCAGCGCGTTGGGGGCACACGCCAGCCCTCGCCAGCCCCCATCCTGCCTCCTCACCCCCCCCCGAGTGAGGAGAGGAAAGGCCGCTCTAGCCCACCCCACCCCCAGTCACCTTCAGCTCCGCCTTGGTCTCCTCCAGTGCCTTCAGGTCAGCGGGCACCGATTGCACTTCCTTCAACTGCTCCTCGTACTTCCGGACCAGCTCCTCCGCGCCTTGAGTGCTGCGGATCACCAGGTTGATGGTCTTCAGCCTGCGTGGGAAAGGACCAGTCAGTGCGTGCAGACTGGAAGCTCAAACCCCCCCCCCCCCCGCCCCCGGACTCTGCAGCCGAAGCCTTACCCGGCGCCTCCGGGAGGCCGGCCCAAGGTCACCCAAGTCCAAACAGCCCCTCCCCTTCCGAAGTCAAAATGGCAGCCTGATCTTGGATCCCACATAAAGCTCACTAGGGGAGCCGCCACCACCCTCTCTTAGCCTCGCCTGCCTCTATAATAAGCCGACCATAAAGGAAAGCGTCACAGCCACAGTCACAACTGGCAAGAGCATTCTGAAGTTTTACGTGCAACGTATGCAAAGCCTTTGGCGCGGAAGAGCAACAGAAACACCCCCTGCACGGTCACTCCTAAGGGGCGGTCAGAATCCTTCCCTCCCAAGGCGTCAGGCTGGCTGGGCTGCGGCTCAGGGGTGGAGCCTCCGCTTGGCCAGGCAGAAGGTCCCAGGTTCAATCCCCAGCAGCATCTCCAGGTAAAAGGACCAGGTATAGCAGGTGATGTAAAAGACCTCCGCCTGAGACCCCGGAGAGCCGCTGCTGCCAGTCCGAGTAGACAAGACTGGCCTTGATGGGCCGAGGGTGGGGGTGGGTCTGAGTCAGTATAAGGCGGCTTCATGTGTACACATGAACAGTCATCATGGCCTGAGAAATCGGGGTGAGAACCCCAGAGACGGAGCCCTCTTAGTCGGGCCAGAAGGGAATGGCTCTGATTGATCGGTAGAGCGGACAAGTCCAAGTTCATCTGGAGCAACCTCTTGTCCAAAGCAATGCTCCCTCTAAGATGTGGAGACCTGGGAGCAAAAATTCTACTTTGTGAGCTACTACCGGCATTAAAGTTGCGAGCGAGCGATTTGGCTGCTGCATAGATTAGTTTGCTCTAAAGCCCTCCTTCCTGAGAGAAGGCAAAAATGTGTGAGTCGGAGGCTAAGAAACTGTGAGCTAAGCTCACACTAACTCAGCTTAGAGGGAACACTGGTCCAAAGGTACCTCCCCCACTTGCAACTGTAATGGCCCCAGTGGCTTTGGGGCACCCTGTCATGCCCACCGTGCCGCCCGACCCAGTGGACCCTGATCCTGGGGACTCTGCACCTTCAACATCCAGGAACGAGCTCCCTGCACCCCTGGAAGTACAAAACCTAAGCCTTGCAGAGGATGAACACCGGCTTCCAGAAAGGTTCACACCTGGAGCCGCTCCTGCAGAGCCAGCACCAGCTCCGCGCCCCATGATTCCCCCCCCCACACACCTGTAGCTTGTTTAAGAGACCAAAGGAGACGGGACTTGACAACCTGGCGCAGGGAAGCACGCATGCGTGGGAGACGTCCTCTGAGTCCCGAGTATTGACGGGAGGGCAGGACTCTGTAATCAGCCGGGAATTACTGACAAGGGGAACGGGCTTTTAAGGCAGCTCTCTTCACAATCCAATTCATGCTGGCAACTGATCGCATGATTGAATTGCTGCACCTCGGACCTTGCATCCTGTTTCCTTGACTCTCTGCTTGACTCCCTCGGCTACTGACTCGGGACTGCGTTCTTCTGGCTCCCTGACCCTGGGATGTGTAACCTGACTCTAGACTACGGCTTTCGGCTTCACACCTCTGACTCCAAGTCTCCGGTAAACCTTAGACTGTGCTTTTGTTTCTCTGCCTCTCTGGTGCCTTGACCTCTGCCTGAGTTTTTGGATACTCCGTGCCTTGCCTAGCCTGCCCGCCAGGGCAATCGTGACAAACCCCACCCCAAAGTGCCTGCCAGAAAACCCCTCTGGACAGAGAGGTGTCCTGCCGGATCTATCGGACCCATGCCAAGAGATAGTGCCTGACGCAGTCCTGCCAGCCTTGCCCAGAGCAAGGGGCACCGTAAGGGTCTCCTGCCTGGCTCACTGCACAGGGCCGGCCGGGCCAGGCATGCTGGCTCGCTTTCGTTGGCCATCGCTGGGCCTGCTTCAGCCCTCCAGAGGAGAATGCAACAGCAGCAGGCTCCCTGGGAGGGTGTGTTGTTGGCCGGCCGGCCGGCCGGGGTGGGTGGGGTGGGGTGGGGGGTCCCCAGAAACCCCGGCACTGCCAGTCAGCAAAGCGGGCCGGACAGGTGGCCGCCAACCCCTCCTCCCCCGAGACGTGTGCTTACTTCTCCAGGTAGACGCCAGACAGGCTGTACACCTGGTCCATCTTCTGAAAAGTGACGTCCAGCTCCGAGCGCAGCGTGGGGGCCGAGCCGGAGGGCTCTGGCTGAGAGAGCACCTGCTCCGTCTTCTCGCTCACTTTGCCCAGGCTCTTCTTGATGCCCTCCAGCTCCAGGTGGATTTGCTGCCGGGAGAACAAGGGGGGTGGGAATGAGCGAGCCCAGCCGCAGCCTGCCCTGCCCCCACCGGAGAGGGATGGCCAGAGACTGACTCATGGCCGCCTCACGACTCCCCACCTCCCACCGGGCAGCGAGGCCCAGACTTCCCCACCGAGAGGGAATACCTGCTGGTCATTGATGCGCTGGGCACACTCTTTGGCGGGATCCTTGTCAAGTGGTGAGCGGATCTTGTGGATGGTGCGGGACTCGCAGCCCTCCAGCTGCAGGCGGATGTCCTTCAGCTGGGAAATGTAGTTCCTGCACAGAGACTCCTCCTGCTCACCTGCGCACACACAGACACACACGGCAAAACACCACCCCGTTCAGGGCTGCCCACGGCAGAAAAGACCCGCAGGGGAAGTTTCTGGGCTGAGGCTCCAAGCCAGTCCATTGCCAGAAAGCGGGGGGCCCCCTGGGACGAGGGGCGGGTGGGGCCCAGGGCTTCCGTGCTGGGCCCGGGGGCATCTCACGGGGAAGCACAGCGGGGGTCAACAGTGCCGCCCCCAGGTGCCAGAAGGCAATGCCTCTCTCACCGTGCCACAAACCTAGAGACACGCTCCTTGCCGGCCATTGTTCACAGCCAGACGGCTCCGGGCAGACCAGGCACCCACCAGTGTTCCCTCTAAGCTGAGTTAGTGTGAGCTAGCTCACAGTTTTTTAGCCTCCAGCTCACACATTTTTGCCTTGGCTCGGGAAGGAGGGCTCCAGAGCAAACTAATTTATGCAGTAGCCAAATTGCTCGCTCACAACTTTAATGTCAGTAGCTCACAAAGTAGAATTTTTGCTCACAAGACTCCACAGCTTAGAGGGGGGAACATTGGCCCCCACCGCCCCGCCCAGCTGGGCCCTCCAAGAGACCCCCCCCCGCCCCGCCCCCAACACGGGCCTTACCTCTCTCCAGGCTGCGCAGCAGCAGCTCGTACTTCTGGGTGCAAGTGGTGTATTCACGCTGCACGTGCAGCCGGTCGTCCGGGAAGAAGTTCTGCGCGTCCTGGCTGTTGCGCAGGAACTCCTGGTAGTGGGTCTCCAGGCTGCGGAGCGTCTGGCTGTAATCCTCCGGGGACATCGTCCGGAACTGAGGAAGAGGCACTCGGTCACAGGGGACCTCCCCTGCCCAGCACACACACCCCCCCCGGGGGGGGGGGACCCCCCGTGCCCAGGTGACCGGAGTGGGGGGAGAGGACGCTCACAGCAGAGGAGCAGGAGCCCTGCACCCAGCCACACCCCCTGGGCAGCAGCTGGGAACGTTTACATTTATTTATATATTTATTATTTATTTATAGGTTTAATTTATACCCCGCCCTCCCCGCAACGCGTGCTCAGGGCGGCTTACAGTCAGGCATAAGCCAGTATCAAATATAAAACATTTTTAAAACCATTTTAAAGCTCAACAGGACAGTAGCATTATTATTAACGAAGTGCTCTGTTCTTCCACAAGGTGGCCTACTGCAACTGCCCCGCCAGCTCAGCGTCGTCTGCTCAGGGAGACACTGGTGTTCTCTCGTCCAGGGCCAGGCTATGATGGTAGTGATGGTAGTGGCAGTGGCTCCTACTCATACGCCTGGCGGAAGAGCTCCGTCTTACAGGCCCTGCGGAACTGTGCAAGATCTCGCAGGGCCCGGATCTCCTCCAGACTGCAGCACCCAGGCCACTCTCACCGCCTTTGCTTCAGCAACGGTGGGAGGGGGCTTCTCGTGTCCTCCCCCCCCCCACTGCCAGACCTCCTGGTGGCCCCTGGTATTTCTGGCCCCTGTGTGACAGACAGAGTGTTGGACGGGATGGGCCATGGGCCTGGTCCAACGTGGGCTTTCCTTATGTTCTTATGTTAAATCCAGCACACCTCCAGGACTCCAGAGAAGACTGGCGGTGGGGCTCTGAGAGCCAGTGGTCAGAGCCCCCCCCCCTCCTGTGGCTGCTTTGGCCCTGCCGCGGAGCACACGGGCTCCCGGGGACTGGGCGGGGCGGGCCAAGAGAGAGAGAGAGAGAGAGAGAAGGAGAAGGAAGGCTCACTATGAGGAGGGACCAGGAGTGGATCTGCTGGATGTCCCGCTGCAGGCACTGCCAGGAGAGGAGGCTCTTCAGGTCGATGTGCAGCTGGTGCCAGAGGCTGAGCAAGCTCTGCTGAGTGGCCTCCAGCCTGGAGGGAGGGAGGGAGGGAGAGAGAGAGAAGCCCTGATGTGGGAGGGGGCCCCAGCCGGAAGCAAAGGCAGGCAGACTCCCTCCCTCCCCCCCCTCCCAGGCCAGAGCCCCGCTTCTCCCGCCAGGGCCCCCCCCCCTTGCCGGGCTTCTTGCCTCC